TAGTGCGTCCCAACGCGTGAGCTGTCAAGAGGTATCGATGTCGCATGCTTAGTATCCTCCCCTGTCCACCACAGGATGTACGAGCACAAGAGCGCCCTCGCCTGCTCTCAAGTAGTTCTGACGATGCTCAAAAGCCTTCGTTGTCCCCCCCCCCCCAATTCCCTACCAGGTGGTATACGAGCACAAGACGCGCCTGGTCTGCTCTGCAGAGGGCTCGCCCGTTGAGCTCTTTGGTGGTGTGTCCCAACCTAACCCACCGTGTAAGGCATCAGAACGTATTATGTATCGTGCATTGTATCCACCCCCATCCCCTGCCAGGTGATGTACGAGCACAAGACGCGCCTGGTCTGCTCTGCAGAGGGCACGCCCTTTGAGCTCTTTGAGCGCGTGGTTACCATCGCAAACGCGCCACGTAGGACGGCTGCCAGGTCAGCAAAGACCGAGGACGCTGATGTGGCGGTGGACGATGAGCTGGGATTCGCTAAGGATCGTACGGTCAGCAGGTGAGGCAGTGGTCAAGATTCCAATCACAGTTCAATAATGTGTCAGCTATGTGTCAGCTATGTGTCCGCTATGTGTCAGCTATGTGTCAGTCAGCTACCGTGTCAACCTGTTTCTATGTGTGTGTTGTGGTGTTTGTGCCCAACATTGTCATTTATAGATGCACCGGTATCTGTTAATGAGTTTCACCATTCACGTCTCTCCTACTTCTCTTTATCGACTCCCTCCCATGGCACTCCCCTCTCCCTCGCCCTCCTCCCCTCCGCACCCCCCCCTCCCCCCCTCCTTCCCTTCCCCCTGCTGTTTCTCTCTCACCTCTTCCTGTTTCTGACCCTTTTTGCCCCGCTTTGTACTGCACTTGATGGCTTAGGATGATGGAGATGCAGAGTACCGAGTATGAGCAAGACAATGCAGCAGCATACAAGCACATGTTACCGCAACAACATTAATTGGTTCAACTTGCAGCAATAAAAATATGTGCATCTTGGAATTATTGGTGTAAAATGTACAGTGACGACCATTTGTGTATCTACTATTTGTCAACTTATACATATTATCTATGTAGAAGTTATAGGCTAGACTGAGGTATGCTTCTAGTGAGTACAACCAACTAGTATTTGTTCTAGGTTTCCACCTCTAGTAATCATTCGTTTCTACGTTAACATGGTATCACGCTTAGGTTAGGATCCCCCCGCCTACCGCTTCCGCCCGTCGCGCCTCCTAGGCCCCGTCGCGCCCCCTAGGCCCCGTCGCGCCCCCCCTGGGCCCCGTCGCGCTCGTTAGGCCCCGTCGCGCCCCCCTGGGCCCCGTCGTGCCCGCTGGGCCCCGTCGCGCCTCCTAGGCCCCGTCGCGCTCCCCCTGGGCCCCGTCGCGCCCGCTGGGTCCCGTCGCGACCCCTAGGCCCTAACGCGCCGCCGCTGGGCCCCGTTGCGCCTCCTAGGCCCCGTCGCGCCCCCCATGGGCCCCGTCGAGCCCGCTGAGCCCCGTCGTGCCTCCTAGGCATCGTCGCGCCTCCTAAGCCCCGTCGCGTCCCCCCCCTCTGGGCCCCATCGCGCCCGTTCGGCCCCGTCGCGCCCCTCCTAGGCCCCGTCGCGCCCGCTGGGCCCCTTCGCGCTTCCTAGGCCCCGTCGCGCCTGCTAGGCCCCGTCGCGCCTCCCCTGGGCCCCGTCGCGCCCGTTAGGCCCCGTCGCGGCCCCCCTGGGCCCCGTCGTGCCCGCTGGTCCCCGTCGCGCCTCCTTGGCCCCGTCGCGCCCCCCCTGGGCCCCGTCGTGCCCGCTGGGCCCCGTCGCGCCCCTTAGGCCCCGTCGCGCCCGCTGGCCCCTGTCGCGCCTGCTGTTAGCGCTCGCCCGCCTGGCCTCCTCCTAGTGCCGCTCGGCCTCCTCCTAGTGCCGCCCGGCCTCCTCCTAGTGCCGCCCGGCCTCCTCCTAGTGCCGCCCGGCCCCTTCCTAGCGCCGCCCGGCCTCTCCTCAGCGCTGCCCGGCCCCTCCTCGTGCCCGACCGGCCCCAGCAGCACCAGCCTGGCCCCTCCCAGCACCAGCCCGGCCCTAGAGCACCTGCCCGCCTCCCCTGCTCGGCCTGCCGTGTCCTCTCGGGCCCTGTGTCTTCTGCTTGCCTGCGCTGGGACGCCTAGCTGCTGCCCTACTGGAGAGTGCTGCCGCCGTGTCCCCGCGCCGCTGTGCTCCTGTGCCGCTGAGGAGCTGTGCTGCTGTGCCGCTGTGTCGCTGAGGAGCTGTGCCGCTGACCCTGCACGATGGCTGACTTTGTGCTCCGCCTGGACGCTGAGGGCCACGCGGTTGACTTCGCCGCCTGGCTCTCCGATCTTCGCCGCCAGCTTACAGGTCAGCGCCAGGATGGCCACTCTCTGGTTGTCCATGCTGATGGCTTGCTCCCCCGTCCCCCTGCACCTACTCCCCTCCCTGCTGACCCCTCCTCTGATGACCGTGAGGCTTTCTCTACTGCTGCGCTAGCCTGTGCGGTCTGGGACTCACGCGATGCAGTAGCTCAGGTTGCTATTAGTCACGCCCTCCCTGTGTCTGAGCGCTCGCGTTTTGCTACTGTTGAAACGGCCAAAGCTTATTTAGACGCCGTTATTGCTCGCTATTCCACCCCTGCCTCCGCTTCTGCTGGCCGCTTGCTCTTTCCGATGCTGTTCCCAGACCTGGCTGCCTTCCCTACTGTCGCAGATTTTGCCACTCATTTGCGTGCCCTAGAGACTCGCTATCGCACTGCCAGCACTGCTGCCCAGCTCACTGCGCTCCCCCCTCCTTTCTGCATGACGCTCTATTTTATCGCTATGCGCCTGCCAGACCGCCTCGCTAGTGCTCGCGACCACTTTCTTAGCCAGCACCCGGGTGACCTCACCCTGACCGCCTTTGTCGACACCCTCACTGAGATCGAGACTCGCCAGCGCACTATCGCTCAGTCGAGCGGTGCGCCGGCAGTCTCTATCTTTCACGGTTGTGCCCCATCCCCGTGCACGTTCACTGACGTTTCGGCTGCGGTCGCCACGGCGACCCCTCTTACCGAGACGGCTGCTGCTGTCCACCCGCAGCAGCGCTCGCGTCGCGGTGGCCGTGGCCGCCAGGGAGGTAGGGGTGGTGACGCAGGTGGTAGTGGTCGTGGTGGTGGTGACGGTAGTCCGCCTGAGGGGACTACCACCGGTGGGCAGGAGCAGCAGTCCCAGCAGCAGCAGGACCAGCCCCAGCCGCAGCCGCCGTCCCAGCAGCACCCGCCGCAGCCGTGGGCTCGTCTCCCGCCTGGTTGGCCCGGCACCTCCGGAGGCGGTGGCCGTGGTGGCGGCCCGCGCAGCTTGGCGTCTACCAGCAGCTCCAGTGCTGTGACCTGCCAGTACCAGCTTCAGACCGGGCCTCTCCGCGGCACTCTGTGCCGCCGCCCGCACCCGACCGCCCACTGTTTCCGCCGCCTCGACGATCTTTTTCGTCGTCGCTTTGGCCCGGCCCCGGACCTCCCTGACTGGCACAGCCTGCTCCGCCAGGGCGTGCCGATCTTTGAGTTAGACATGGATCAGATAGGTGCTGCTTTGCATGCTTTGTATGCTGACGCTTCTAGTGTTGATGGATCTTACTACCATGTGTACTCTAGTTTAGGTGTTTCACCCTTGTGTAGCTTAGCTTCCCCTGCTGCGACAGGCGTAGGACTGCCTAGGTTGCCTAGTCTAGTCGCTGCACCGGCTCCGTCCGCGGCCTCCGCCACTGCGTCGCTGTCCTTCACTCTTGACTCTGGTGCTTCTGCCTGCTTCTTCCGCGACCGTTCCACGCTCACGCCGCTTGCTGCACCTGCTGTTGTCTCTCTCGCTGACCCCTCTGCGGGTCCGGTCGTCGCGCGCAGTTCTACGTCCCTTCCCTGTCCGGCAGTTCCCTCGGGCTCCCTTACTGGCCTCCACGTTCCCTCGTTCTCCAGGAACCTGGTTGGTGTCGGCTGTCTCCAGGACCTCGGCGTCACCACCACGTTCCCCGGGCACGAGCGGTTCGCTGTCTGTTCTGAGGCTGTCTCCGGTTCCCCCCTTGCGACGTTCCCCCGGGACCCGGTGTCCGGTCTGTTTACCCTACACACCGCTTCCCCCCCGGTTGGTGCGTCCTCCCAGGTCGCTGCAGCTTGCTCGTGTCGGTCCCTCACTCACCCCTCCCTTCTCTGGCACCACCGCTTAGGTCACCCTGCTCTCCCGCGTCTGCGTCACATGTCCCAGCACGGTCTTGTCTTAGGTCTCCCCGCGTCGCTCCCTGCCCTTCCTCCCTCGATTGCGCCACCGTGCACGCCTTGCGTCGAGGGTCGGCTCCGCCGTGCTCCTCACTCCTCCTCGCTGCGTCCTGCTACTGCCCCCCTTCAGACCCTGCACTTGGACGTTTGGGGCCCTGCCCCCGTCCCCGGACCGCGCGGTGAGCGCTACTTCCTTGTGCTCGTTGACGACTACACGCGCTACACCACGGTGTTTCCCCTGGAGCGGAAGGCCGACGTGCCCGACGTTCTTCTCCCGTGGGTTGTAGCTGCGCGTCTCCACCGCGGTCTCCCCGTGTTGTGTCTCCACTCCGACCGTGGCGGCGAGTTCGCCTCTGGTCGGCTTGGACAGTTCTGTCGTGCGGAGGGCATCACCCAGTCGTACACGTTGCCGGACTCGCCACAGCAGAATGGGGTTGCTGAGCGCCGCATCGGCTTGGTCATGGAGGTCGCCCGTACCTCCATGATCCATGCCGATGCCCCCCATTTTCTGTGGCCGTTCGCTGTTCGCTACGCGGCTCACCAGCTTAACCTGTGGCCACGCTCCCAGCGGCCGCAGGTTTCGCCGACCCTCCTTTGGACCGGGTCCCCCGGTGACGCGTCTGCGTTCCACGTCTGGGGCTGCCTTGCTCACGTTCGTGCCTCTGGCACGGACAAGCTCACTGCCCGCACTGTCCCCTGTGTCTTCCTCGGTTTCCCCCTGGACTCGTCTGACTGGCTTTTCTACCACCCGCCGTCTCACCGCTTCCTCCACTCTCGTGACGTCACCTTTGACGAGTCCGTCTCCTTCTACCGCCGCTTCCCTCACCGAGGTCTCCCAGTTGCCCCCCCCCTTTTCCTTGCTCCCTCTCCCCCGGTAGCCCCTGCCCCTCTCCCGCCTCGTCCTGCCCCGTCTGGTGTCTCCCATGTCACTCCCCTCCCGTCGGTTGTCCCCGTTGAGGAGTCTGCTGACTCTGGTGGTACCCCCGGTCCGTCCTTGCCGCGTCCCCCTTCCCCAGTGCCTCCGCCCCCACTGTCGCAGTCGCCGACCCCGCTGCCGCCGCCGTCGCCGTCGCCGCCGCAGCCGTCGCCGCTGTCGCCGCCACTGCCGCCGCTGCTCTCGGCCCCTGGGGGTGCTGGTGTGGAGGAGGGTGTTCGTCCTGCGGCTTCTGGGGGTGCCGCTGGTGTTGGAGGGGGTTCTCGCTCTTGGGGTGTTGGTTCTGGGGGTGCTGCTGTTGAGTGTTCTGCCGACGGTCGTTCTGCCTCTGCTGGTCCGAGAGTTCCGGCCCAGCCGTCGTCGCCGCCACAGCAGCCGTCGCCGCCGGTTTCCGCTCTCCGCCTGCTCGGCCTTCCCTCCCCGGACCGCGCGCCGGTGTCTCCCCCACCGCCTCCTGACCTCCCTGTCTACGGTCCTGTGTTCCCGCCGCCAGACTCGTCTCCGGCCCGTCTTCCTCCTCGTTCCCCTCCTGTGTCTCCTCCGCTGTCCCCTGACCCTACCCCTCCGTCTCACGTTTGGGCTCGCCGTCCCTCCCGTGCTCGTCCCGTCTCTCCTGTCCTGCCCACCCACCCTATGTTGCTCCGTTCCCACTCGTCTCGTCCTCCCCTCCTCCCGTCCCCTCCTCCCTCGTCCCTTGCTGTTGCACCTCCTCCGTTCTCTGACTACCTCCGTGCTGCTCGTCCCCTTGTCCCTCGGGTCCTTGCCTCTCTTGTTACCGACCCTGCTGTTCCTGTCTCGCGCCTTGACGCGCTTGTCGCTGCTGTCGCTGACTTCGCTTCTACCCGCCGCCTTGACTACGCTACCGCTCTGGTCTCTGACCCTGCCCGTCCTCTGTCCGTCGGGGGTGCTCCTGCCCTTGGCAGTGACGTCCTAGAGGACAGGCAGTACGAGCTGGCTTTCCTTTCCGAGGCTGCTCCCCATCTCTGCTCCATGCTGTTAGTCCCTGAGGGTGACCCAGACGCCTTCGACATCCCGACCCCTCGCACCTACGCTGAGGCCACCTCGGGACCTTGGGCCTCTCAGTGGATAGCTGCCATGGAGCAGGAGATGGCATCTTGGAGATCCACCGGCACTTACGTCGACGCAGTTCCCCCGCCTGGGGTGAACGTAGTCGATGGTCGGTGGCTCTTCAAGGTGAAGCGCCCCCCTGGAGAGCCGCCTGTCTTCAAGGCGCGCTACGTGGCCAGAGGTTTCAGTCAGCGCGAGGGGGTTGACTTCTTCCAGACCTTCGCCCCGACCCCGAAGATGACCACTCTTCGGGCGCTGCTACACGTAGCAGCACAGCGTGACTACGAGCTTCACTCCCTCGACTTCTCTACTGCCTTTCTTCAGGGCAGCCTACACGAGCAGGTCTACCTGCGCCGACCACAGGGCTTCACTGGTACCTTCCCTCCTGGGACCCAGTGGCTTCTCAGGCGCCCGGTCTACGGCCTGCGTCAGGCTCCCCGCGAGTGGCACGACACGCTACGTGCCACGTTAGCAGACCTGCAGTTCTTTCCGTCCTCTGCTGACCCTTCACTGTTTGTGCGTTCCGGCCAGACTCCGTTCTACATCCTTGTCTACGTAGACGACCTGGTCTTCGCTACTCCTGACAGGGACGCACTGGCCTCTGTGAAGGCTGAGCTGCTGAAGAGACACACCTGCACTGACCTTGGAGAGCTGCGTCGCTATCTTGGCCTGCAGATCTCTAGGGACAGAGCAGCACGCACCATCACTCTGACCCAGTCACACTTGGTGCGTCAGGTCCTTCAGAGGTTCGGTCTTCAGTTCTCCTCCGCACAGCCCACACCTCTACCCGTAGACCATGGGCTCTCTGCTCCCGTTCCTGAGGAGCCAGTAGAGCCCAGTGGCCCCTACGCAGAGCTGGTGGGTTGCCTCATGTACCTGATGACTTGCACTCGCCCAGATCTCGCATACCCTCTCAGCATCCTGGCTCGCTTTGTGGCTACAGGCAGACACCGACCTCAGCACTGGTCTGCCGCTAAGAGGGTTTTGCGTTATCTTGCTAGTACATCAGGCATGGGGTTAGTGCTAGGAGGACGCAGGCCAGTGGTCCTTACTGGGCACACAGACGCTTCTTGGGCAGACGACGCTGAGACGCTCAGGTCGTCGCAGGGCTACTGTTTCAGCCTTGGTTCGGGTGCTATCTCTTGGAGATCCACTCGCTCGTCGTCTGTGGCTCAGTCTAGCTGTGAGGCTGAGATCTACGCTGGTGCCATGGCGGCACAGGAGCTCCGCTGGCTGACCTTCTTGCTCACAGACTTAGGTGAGCGGCCTAGCTCTGCCCCGGTCCTGTACGCTGACAACAGGGCCATGATACTCCTGTGTCAGGAGCCTCGGCTTGAGGGCAGAGCGAAGCATATCCAGCTGCGGTACTTCCTCCTGCGCGAGCTACAGCAGCGCCGCCAGGCCCGCGTAGTTCACTTGGCCTCAGGTGCCAACACAGCTGATATCTTTACTAAGGCGCTTGCGCCTAAAGATCATCAGCGGCACTGTGTACAGCTTGGTCTTGTTCCTATAGCTGCTCCCCTGTTAGGATCCTGATTGTGTACTCTCTATTATATATGCTTGTCAGACTGGTCTTGTGGCCTTACCTCCAGTGGCTGGACTAGTAGTGCCACCCTGGCTTGCTTCAGTTTTGGTTGTATTCTTGCTGACTGGTCTCCAGACCCCTGCCTCAGTGGTTGGACTAGTAGTGCCGCCCTGAGCTGTTTGCTTCTTGTTTAGTTTCACCCCTTGTCTAGCCTAGGGGGTGTGTCAACTTATACATATTATCTATGTAGAAGTTATAGGCTAGACTGAGGTATGCTTCTAGTGAGTACAACCAACTAGTATTTGTTCTAGGTTTCCACCTCTAGTAATCATTCGTTTCTACGTTAACACTATTTACCAAATTACCACGCCAATATTGAACATTAGTGATATTTGAAGGCAATAATAAACCCCGGATCATGTATACTTGCTTGATTAAGTCTGGCATTGGGGCTTGAATGGCATGAATGGCATTTCAGCATGGAGGTAAGTTGGACTCATTGTTATTATTTGTATGGAGTTAGCACCCGTCAAAACTGACCACTCCGCAGCACACAATATTGCCGTAGCTTGATTATAACGAGGAACAGCTAGGGACAACCACGAATTGAAGTGGGTCCCACACAACACACACACTGGCTCTGGCCATGTGAATCTGGCTAACGTGCGAATCTGGCTCTCGGCCATTGCTCGACCTCTGCTGGTCTGCTGACTGGTTGGCGTGTAGGTTCAATCCGCGTTACGTACTCACTGCTTCTTATCGAGATGCCTGTATCGAGCGGGAATTAAAGCTGGCTGTAGCAAAGCCAGCACAAGGAGCAGAGGCAGCCAGCGAGTGCGCCAGGCGGCGTTTCAGCTCGTTCGCGCCATAACCCTAACGCACTCTCAACGCCCCATCCCCACTCCCACTCCCACTCTTAGATGACTGTATTGAGAGTGGCTTAGAGCCGTGGTACTGTAGCAGAGCCTAGCAGAACCCAGCACCAGCCATCGAGAACGCCATGGGTCACGCGGCGTTTCAGCTCGTTCGCGCCATAACCCTACCCGACAGCTCTCGCCCCGCTCCCGCTCCCGCGCCCTCTCTTAGTCGCATCCTCGGTCCCGCTGCGAGCGCGAGTCCCCCCCGCATTCAGTGCTGCGCGCAATGGCGCTCCTCCATCCTCATTGGCTGCAGCGACGGCGCGCTGCTAGACTACCGCCCCGCAGGAACAGCAGACCAATCAGCGGCCGACCAATCAGCGCCTTCCGCGCCGCGTTTGGCGCCCGGAAGCAGCGGCTACTCGCTGCACGCCAGGAAGGACGGCTTCGCGCCGTCCGCTATCCTCCGTCTCGAAGTCGCGCCGTCGACAGCTGCTGCTGCAGCTGCTGCTGCGCCTGATGCTTCCGCCGCATCCGCCGCTTCCGCCGCTAGCGCGGGTTCCGGCGCAACAGGCGCCGCGTCAGCCGCTGCCGGAGTGCTGATCGTGCTGGCGGACTGCGTGAGGCTGGCGTCGCTGCCGGCGCTGCAGCCGCTGACGTGTCTCGCGCGGACAGCTGGCGCCACGTCATTGGCCTGGGACGCGGAGAACGGCGTGCTGTGCGTGGCGGTGAAGAGGCGAGTCTTGGTGCTGAGATTTGATGGTGAGTTGGGAACGGCTGAGTGCGGTGATAAGTGGTGACTTGGGCCAGGTTGGGCACTTGTGGAGTGGCATGCCCTGCGTGGCGGTTAAAATCCGCGTGCCAAGTAGCTCAATGGTAGGAAGGTGACTTTTGAGTCGACTCAAAAGTCACCTAGTTCAATGGTAGCAAGGTTGGTTGGATAGGAGGACGGGATTGGTTGTCGAGTAGTCCTCCTAGGGAACTCTCAACCAAAGGTAGGAAGCTCGAGGCAATATTGGGACATTTGGTACGCCGGTTTTAAGCTGAGGTTTGGTGGTGATAGTAGAGGGTGGCGCAGAGCGGTTAAATGCGGTAAAGTGGGGCTATGTTAAGCGCCGGAGCGAACCAGAATGGCATGCTGTCAGTGTACATGGGTTGAGTGCGGTTCAGAACGTTTAAGCACTTCACGGAATGTGTGGTGTGCTGTGTGTGGCGATGAAAATAATAGATGAGAGCGGTAAAGTGCGGTGATGCGTGGTGAACGAGGGTATTTTTGCACTTGTGGGGGAAAGAGTGACTTGCTGTGCGTGGGGTGGGGGTGAAGAGGAGGGGTTTTGTGCTGTGGGTTGATGACAGTGTCTAGAGAGAGGGCGGTTGGGAATGCATAAATGCAGTGACCAATGCTTTCAATGTGATCACTAGTGGTAAACTAGGGTTAGGTTAAGCACTTGTGTGGTGAAGAGCGGTGAGCTGTGTGGAAAGGGCGGTTGGTGCTCTAGTTTGATGGTGATCTGGACTGGATGCAGTTCAGAGTGGTACAGTGCGGTAACAAAGGCTTAGGGTGAGCACTCAGCAAGTGGTGTGCGATGTGAGTTGCTGCAGAGGGATTCGTGGTGCTGAGATTCAACAACGGGTTGGGAACGGTTGAGAACGGTTTGGCGCATAACCTTTCCTACCTGCGTCTGGCACGCTCTATGCCGCTGCCCCCACCTCCAAGTGCCCTCCTGCTCTTGACACCCCCTCCCAGAAGCACTTGCTTCTGGTCTTTTCTGTCTCTCCCTCGCTTTCTCTCCTCACCACGCTTCGTTTTCGCTGCCTCCCCCTTTGAGCCCTTTCCTCTCCCCCAACCCAAGCTGTTCAAAATCCAAGGAAAAAAGCATGAATTCACCAGCCCAGAGGCCCCTTCCCTGCTCCCTCTCCTTGCACTTTGTGTGCCGCTGCCACCACCCCCACTAAGTACCTCTTGCACCAGAGATCACCTCCCTGCAGGGACCATCCAATTTCCATCATTCATCCCTCCTTGTTCCCTCGGTTCACATGCCCGGAGGCACCTTGGCTTCTCGCTTTCCCTGCGCCCAGCATGCCGTGTGGGCGCCATGCCGCGCCCACCCTTCTGCACCAGATACCACTGTTGGGGAGCAGGCGCTTTTGCTTCCCCCTCCTGCCTCCTCTCACCTCCTTTCTTCTCCTCCCTCCTCCTCTTTCGTCTTGTCCAACCCGTCTCAGCTCAGACCAGTCTATTTTTGAGGCGCCTAAAAAATAGACCGTTCTACCTCAAGGAAGAGCACCTGCCCAGAGGCCTCCCGTTTACTCGCTCTCCTTGTGCCCAGCACGTTGTGTGCCGCCACACCCACCAAGTACCTCCTGCACCCCTCCTCTACCCACAGGGCCGTGCAGCCTTCAAGGAGGAGCGAAAGTTCACATGCACCCAGTACCACCTATCGACTACAGTCACACATCCTTGTCTCTCCTCCGCCCCTTTTCAACTCTTCACCTCTTTCCCAGGCCGTGCATCCTTCAAAGAAGTGTGGCAGTTCACATGTCTAGAGGCCTCTTGTCTACTTGCTCTCTCTACCGTCTACGACCACTCCCATGCTGTGTGCCGCCATGCCCACCAAGTACCCCCTGCACCCCTCCTCTCCTCACCAGGCCGTGCATCCTTCAAGGAGGAGCGAGAGTTCACATGCCTAGAGGCCCTTGTAACATAATATGTAGTTGCTGAGAAAGGAGATAAAGAAAGGGGGAGGAGGAAAGGTAGTGAAACATGTGGGCAAGTCTGAGTTAAAGGTTGGAAAGAAAATTATCGAGGAAGAGTACCTCATCCGTTTGGGAGTGCAACTCGAGGCGGATGTGTTTTTCTTGGATGACACACCCGAGAAGCTTCAATATGAGATGTCGATGGCAGCTGCAGATTTTTTGGCGAGCATGGTTAGCAATGTGGATAAAAAGGAAGTTTTAAACATTCAGACTGTATCACCACGGGTCGTCCTTCCCCAATGTGAATGACAACAAGGAAAATGAATACTATGAGTAAGTCTCGTTTGATGAGAGCTTTTACATGAGGGTTGTTCTGGCAGAACTGGGGGGGTTCAATTCAAGGGGTCCAGCTGGCAGAAGGTGGATTCATGTTTGTTGTTTCACAAGGATATTTTTTACGAGAACGGGGGTTTGTCGGAATCTCAGAATTAACGCCGACTGACCGTTCTTGTTAAAGAGATCCTCATGGAAGAGTAGCCGTGAATCCACCTTCTGCACATTGGTCTCCTTGAATCTCTCCAGCTCCACCATAACATCCCCCATGTAAAAGTTCTCGTCAAGCAGGACGTACTCGCAACATTCATTTTCCTTGTTGTCGTTCACCTTGGTGAAGTATGTCCTTTGGTGATACAGTCAGTAGGTTTGAACCCCTTCCTTGTCCACACATTGCTGTCCATGCCCGTCAAAACATCTGCAACGGTCATTGACATTTCGTATGGAAGCTTCTTGGATGTGTCATTCAAGGAAAACACATCTGTGTCGTGTTGTGCTTCCAAACCAGTGAGATACTCCTCGTTGGTCATTTCCTCTCCAATCTCCAACTCAAACTTGCCCACATGGCTCCCTCTTTCCTCTTTCCTCTTTCATTGTCTAACCCGTCGCAGACGTGCATCCTTTAAGGAAGAACGAGGGTTCACCTGTCTTGAAGCCCGTTGCCTGCTCGCCCCTCCGCCCCTTTGCCCCTCTACACTCTGTGTGCCACCACCCCCACCAAGTATCTCCTGCATCCCTCCTCTCCCCACGAGGCCCTGCATCCTTCAAGGAAGAGCGCGAGTTCACCTGCCCAGAGGCCCCTCATCTACTCGCTCTCCCTGTGCCCAGCACGCTGTGTGCTGCCAGCCAACACACCCAGTACTTTCTGAACCCTTCCCCCACCCGTCCTTTCTCCCCCAGGCCCTGCATCCTTCAAGGAAGAGCTCAATTTCACCTGCCCAGAGGCCCCTCGGCTGCTCGCCCTCCCTGTGCCCAGCACTCACTGTGCTGCCACGCCCACCAAGTACCTTTCGCACCAGATACCACCTCCTGCCAGCACATGCCATTGCTTGCCCTTCCTGTCTCCCCCTCATCCCTCTTCTTGTGTCTCTTCCCTCTTCCCTCTTCCCTCTTCCCTCTCTCCTCTTCCCTCTTTTCTTTGTGTAACCCCTCTCAGGCCGGTCGACCTTCAAGGAGGAGCGTGAGTTCACCTGCCCTGAAGCCCCCCGTCTGCTCGCCCTCCCAGCGCCCAGCACCCTGTGTGCCGCCACCCCCACCAAGTACCTCCTGCACCAGATACCACCTCCCGGAAGCACCAGCAGCGGTGGCTCGTGGCGCGACATGCTGCCGTGCGGCCAGGTGGCCCTGCCTAGCGTGGTGAAGCTCCCCAACGGGGAGATGCTGGTTGGGAAGGTGGGTGTGTGGAGCTTGTTGCGTGGTGAGAAGGTGCCACCTGAGCACATGCCAGCTGTGATGTAGCTGACGAATGGGGAGACGTTAGTCGGCGGCAAGGTGAGTCGCTTTCCACTTGTTGAGTTGAAGCATGAGAGCTTTTGGGCTCGTGGCGTGACATGCTGCTGTGCGGGCAGGTGGCGCCCCCTAGTGTGGTGAAGCTGTCAAATGGGGAGATGCTGGTGGGGAAGGTGAGTGTTTGTAGCCATTGAGCGTTAGGGTGGGCTGCAGCGAAGAGGAAAAACTTTAGCAAAAAGAGTGACAGTAGGTGAATTGTTACCCCTGTTAAAAACCGAGAATTTGAAGTTCCGAACTCAACTCCACTAGAAGATTAAAACGCAAACTAGTTTCGGCTGACTGGGACAGGCCCCAAATCAGACCTTCATCAGTGCTGGTGGAATTATAAAAGTGAGTTTACAAGCGAGCTCTTAAACAGAAGCTGCGCTACGAGAACAACAACTTCAAGGTTGGAACAACCGCGACTGAAATCTGGTCAGCCAATCCAAAACACCCTGGAAAGTTCCAAGGTGCCAGGTCTTCATTCCTCGGGACGTGTCGTGGGTAACCCACATCTCGCCAGCTGGTGCTCAGGGAGCCTCGCGTGAACAAGTAACTTTTGCAACTTACGCCCAGCCTTCCATGCGACAAAAATTCTCTCAGTATCCGTGTGAAATGAGTCGATTTTTGAGTCGACTCAAAAATCGACTCATTACACACTTTTGAGTCGACGAAAAAATCGACTCATTACACACTTCCAAATGGGGAGATGCTGGTGGGGAAGGTGAGTGTTTGTCTGTGTGGGGAAGGAGAGTTTGTCTGTGTGGGGAAGGAGAGTTTGTCTGTGTGGGGAAGGAGTGTTTGTCTGTGTGGGGAAGGAGTGTTTGTTTCACTGGGAAGCTGTGTGGGGGGCAGGCAGGTGCAGGGCTCGTTGTCTTCAGTGCTGCCGTGGGTCCAGGTGCTGCCGTGCCATGCTGCCGTGCGTCTCGACTCGACTCACGGTGTATTTTGAGTCGACTACAGGTGTATTTTGAATCTACTCAAAGTACACTGGCTGCCGTGTGTCCAGGTGGCCTCTTTCCTGACTCACAGGGTCGGCCAATTCCTGCCTTCCCTCCCCCCCTTTCCACCACCGGGACAGCATATGCCTCTGCTCCGACTCCTCTGGTCCCCCCCTGCGCCCGTACAGCATCAACTGGTCAATTGCACTCCCGTGGCTGTCAGTCACATTTGGCACTCTCCTCTTCTCCCTCTTCTCACCCTCCGCTATTCTCCCGACCACCAGGACAGCATAAGTCTGTTCCTCGACCCCTCTGGCCGCCCCCTGTGGTCCTGTGGCATCAACTGGTCACGCCCGCCCTCCCACGTGGCTGTGATGTGTCTTTTCTCTTCTCCCCCTTGTATTTACGCTTCTCCCTCCTCCTGCCTTTTCTTTTCTCCCCACCACCAGGACAGCATAGGTCTGTTTCTCGACTCCTCTGGCCGCCCCCTGCGTTCCTACGGCATCAACTGGTCGCGTCCGCCCTCCCACGTGGCTGTCATGCCGCCCTATGCCCTCGCCAAGCTCCCAAACTACATCGAGGTACGCCCCGTACACGTGCCTTTCACATGTGCACTATCTCGGTTTCATACGCCTCTGCTGGATTCTCAAACTACATCGAGGTGTGCCTCACAAATCTCACTATCATGCCCATCTGTGCTGTACTCGCATGTGAGTAAGGTCCACCATGGCCTAGCAAAGCTGCCAAGAGGTGTGCCTTCACATCCCACTGTCGCTGTCGTGTTTTGCCGCCCTTCGCCTCCGAACCAGACATGGTTAAAGTGCGATGCGATATTATGTTGCATCGGACTGGCTGCGATAGCGATTAATATCGCGCGATATTATATCGCATCGCCTACAATTTTTTTTTTTGAAACCCGATATCGCATATCGCATTTCAGGTGCAATGTATGATTAAACACTGTCCAAGCTCCCAAATCAGCATTGCGGTGTGATTGCCAAGAGCTTTCTCTCTTCGTTTGTGGCTAACTGGTGGTTTCAAGTGCAACCACTTCGTGCCACTTGCTTGCCTTGACAATTAACGTTTTTTAAGTGTTTCGCCAGCGTCTGTCCTTTCTTCGCACATCTGTGTTTACCATTATATAGACTAAAAAGGAAAGCTGTCTTCAAGCTCTTAGATTTTTTACTAAACATTTCTTCTCTCCTTTGCGATTCGCTCTTGGCCACCCCACGTGCGCTCCTTGCTCCTGGGCCATGCCTTGGGGCAAACCTTTCCTGTGGGGGAAAACGCCGTCCTCCGTACCTCTCGCAATCTTCCCTCCAGCCCTCTTTCCTCTTCACCTCTCTTCTCTTCACCCCTCCCCTCTTCACTCCTTCCCTTCACCCAAACCAGGTGCGCTCGTTGCTCCCGGGCCATGCTTTGGTGCAAACCATCCCTCTGCGGGAAAACGCAGCGCTTTGGACCCCTCCTACTCTCTCCACCACCAGTATCGGCGCGAGTGGTAGCAGCAGGGCCCCGGCATCAATCCGAGGTGTCTTGGCTGTGGCAGAGGAGAGCATCTACATTGTGGCTCCCGTCTCGCTGACCTCCCAGGTGCGTTCGGCTAGTGTGTGTGGTGTGTGCTTCTTTATGTGTGGTATGGTGTGTGGTGCAACAGCTAAGGGCAGCACGGCACTGGCATCAGCCCGGGGCATCTTGGCTGCGGTGAAAGAGAGCATCTACGTCGTGGCCCTCGTCGTGCTAATCTCCCAGGTGTGTGCTGCTTAGTGTGGTGTAGTGTGGTATGGTGTATTCTGGTATGGTGAGGTGTGGTGTGGTATGGTATGTGGTAGTGCAAGTGGCTAGCAGAGCAGGACTCCATCCACTCAAAGTGTCGTTGCTGCTCTCTACTCTGCAGATCGACCAGGTGCTGAGTGAGCATTCGAGCTGTCTAAATAGTGAGAGTGCGACCCGAGAAAAACTCGAGGGTCCACACCATCCCCGAGAAGGGGTCACTGTAGCCTAGCAAAAGTCTAGATAAGTGTAACAAATTTGAAACACTAATCTAGCATTTCCTTGCTGAGACTATAAAATCCTTTATCTTCTTTGGCAGCTTCCATGCAATCAATGCACGTCGGCCGGAGAATAAACCGTGTGTCAGCTTGTCCAGTTGTATTTTGAGTCGACTCAAAGTGTCGTTGCTGCTCTCTACTCTGCAGATCGACCAGCTGCTGAGTGAAGGGGTGTTTGAGGGGAGGCTTTCTCCTCGAGTGAGGCGCTGGAGGCGGAAGAGGCTCCTTAGGCCGCGACCTGACCACCCTCTCTCCCGCCCTTTCCTTCTTCGGCTCTTGCTGTGCACCTCACACCCAACAGATCGACCAGCTGGTGAGTGAGGGGCTGTTTGAGGAGGCGCTCTCTCTCTGTGAGGGGCTGGAGGATGGGGAGGTGGAGGAGGAAGGTGGGGCGGGAGAGGGCGAAAAGGAGGGGGATGGCCAGCCAAGGCGGCGAATGGACTTTGTTCGACTGCGGTGAGTGGGCTCACATGCACACGCGTTTTGAGTCGACTAAAAACACTGTTCTCCCTTTGTCCATCCGTCCCTTCCAGTCTAGCCCACCATCTCTTCTCAACTGGCGAATTTGACCGAGCAATGCAGCAACTCTCCCTTTGCTCCTCGCCACTGCCATTCCCCTCCCACTCTCTCTTTCTTCTCCCTTCATCCATCTCTCCCTTCCAGCCTAGCCCACCATCTCTTCTCAACGGGGGAGTTCGATCGCGCAATGCAGCAGCTCTCCCTCTGCTCCTCGCCTCCCCTCCTCCCGGCCCTCTCCTTCTTCCCCTTCCTCCCCTCCCTCCCCTCCTCAATCCTCTCCCTCGCTGCCTCCTCCTCCCCCTACCCCTCCTCCTTCCCCTCTTCCGCTCCCTCCTCTCCCTCCTACCCTCTCTCCCCCTCCTCCACCCCATCACCAGCCCATTCACAATGCGTCTCAGCAACTTCGCAATCCAATCCACAATCGAATCCATTAACCGGGCGGCAGCGCAAGCTGGCCTTGCTGTCTCTAGTGGGCTTCCTGGCAGAAAAGAGGGCAGCGGCTGTAGCGGCTGCAGCAGCTGTAGCTTCTGTAGCAGATGCAGCGACTGTAGCAAGTGGATCCGCTGGCGCAGGTGTCAACGCACCTGTGGCACCAACAGGAGGAGAAGAGACAGTGGGAGTTGACGACAGCAAAGAGTTGGCTGTGCACATAGAATCTGCAGAAGAGGCAACAGCGACTGTCATTGACACTCATCTCTCTCTCGCCCTCCAATTGCTCACCTCCCATCCGCCACCGCCGCCCTCACCCCTCTCCCCAGCACCACTACATTCCGCTCCTACAACAGCAGCAGCTGACGCAGCAGCAGCAGCAGCAGCAGCAGCAGCAGCTGCCGAAGCAGAAGCAGAGGCGAATGCAATCCCCCCAGAATCGCCCCCTGACTCTCCAGAGACGGCGTTTGACTTCAACCACTCTCTCTTCTCCTCCTCTGGTCCCCTCACCTTCGGCCGTCCCAGCAGCCCCCCCAGGGGAAGCAGCAGCTATAACACCCACAAATCCCGTGCTGTCAACGCCAGTAGCAGCACCACCAGTGGCACTATTAATAGCATGAATAATGGGGTTACCGGCAGCGGCAGCAGCAGCATAAGTCAGGGAGTGACTGGTGGGGGTGCATTCGAGGGGCCTCTGGATGCAGCCTCTGTTTCGCGGGCTGCTGCTGCTGTTACTGGTGCTGCTGCCACTGCACCTGCCACTGCTGCTGCTGCTGCTGCCAGGTCTGCACGAAGTGATTTTGCCCTTCCAGCAATCGAGCGGTTCATTGCTGTTCTCTCTCAGGCCGATCCCGCTGCTGCCGCTTCTCCTCTCTCACTCTTGATTCCGAATCAGGGAGGGCGAACGGGGACTGCTCTTGAGTCGACTCAAAAGCAGAAGGAAGGAGGAGGGGTGGGAATGAGACAGCATGCGGCAACGGTGGCGTCCGTGTCAGCAATGGCAGCATCCATGTCAGCGACAGGCGCGGCTGACTCAGTGGACCCGATGGAGCTGCTCCGATTGGCCCTGCATGCGCTTTGGGCGGCGGACAACTTCTGCCACGTCAGCACTGTAGAAGCGGCACTGCACAAGGAGGACAGGTGGCGCGATGTGATTCGCTTCCTCTTCTTCAAGGGCTTGCACCGAGAGGGGCTCGTATTCTTGAGAGAAATGCTTAGAGGAACTGGAGCGGGGAGGGGGTGGGAGGGGGAGGAGGAGACAGAGGTGGTTGGCAGGTTGGGTGAGGGTGGAAAGAGACAGGAGACGGAGGAAGTAGGAAAGGGTGGAAGTATTGAAGAAGAGAAGGTTGCTGTGGGTGGTAGTGGTGATGGCACGAGGGGGAGGAGGGGGGATGCTGACGTGGCAGAGAGGTGCTTCAAGGAGTATGTAGAGCTGCTAGGTCAGCAACCACGTCAGCAACCACTCGTGCTGGAGGCGCTGACGTGGCGCTTCCAGGACGACCCGACAGCCGCTCTTGCTCTCCTCACCTCCCTACGCCACCCGCCTCCCAATGGTAATGGCATCCCACTGGACCGTTAAGAAAAAAGGGAAGGGGGGGGGGGGGAAGGAAGAGGAGTTGCTGTCACGTTGTATTTTGAGTCAACTCAAAATACAACTGCTATCACGTTTTCTTGTCGACTTCCTGTTTCGCTTCTTCAGCTACCTTCCCCCGAATCCTGATTTGAGGCGCCTCAAAACTTCCCCCGAATCCTGATTCTCCGCTTCCTGCTCCTCCGTCCGCCAGACGTGGTGATGTCTCTCATCTGCCAAGTGGCCCCTCGCCTCACTCGCCTGCTCTTGAGGCGCATCCTTCTTGGAGCACCTCTTGTAGCGGATCAGACCGCCTGCTCTCCTTGCTCCCTTCATGTTCCCCTCTTATTGTTTCCCTGTCTTCCCCCTCCCTCCCTCCACCGTTCCAGACTTATCTCTCTCATCCACCAAGTGGCCCCTCATCTCAGCGCATCGTTCCCGGAATATTTTGAGTCGACTCAAAATACACCTCTTCCGTCCTCAATCTACCGATTCTCACTCTTCATTCCGTTATTTCGCTCCACTCCACCAGACCCGGTGCTGTCTCTCGTCCGCCAGGTGGCCCCACATCCGCATCTCAGTGCGTCCTTCCTTCCTCGAGCACCTCTTGGAGCAAACCGCTCAGGCCATGGGAGGGGGAGGAGGAAGGAAGGGGCGTGGAGGCTCCTTCATCCACATATTCTTCCTCCTCTCTTCTCCATGTTGCCTTCCTTGCTGACTTTTGAGTCGACTCAAAAGTCTCCTTGCTGTTTGCCCACCAGACCTGGTGCTGGCTGTCTCTCATCCGCCAGGTGGCCCCACACCTCAGCGCAACCTTCCTCGAGCACGTGCTGGAGCAGGCCGCTCAGGCCATGGGAGGGGGGGGAGGAAGGAAGGGGCGGAGGGGGAGGGGGGGGGGTGTGGGGGGACACTGAGGCGCCTGTCATACCCTCATTTGCCTTCCTCGGTTCCTCCTGGCCCCCTGTGCTGCGCCCTTCCCCTTTAGCAGACCTGGTGTTGTCCCTCATTCGCCAGGTGGCCCCACACCTCAGCGCATCCTTCCTCGAGCACCTACTGGAACAAACCGCTCAGGCCATAGGAGGGGGGGCGAAGGGGGAGGGCGTGGGGGGAGCAGACGGGGAGGAGGAGGAACACGGGGAGGGCTGGAGAGGCAGCAGCAGCAGCGGCGGTGGGAGGAGCAGCAGGGGGAGTGGGGCAGGTGGAAGGGGGAGTAGTGGTACTGGTGCTGCTGGTGGGGAGGTGCAGGATATGGGGGCCGCAGCATCGCAGCTGCAGATAGACCTGGTGAGATGCGCTTTTGCACCTGCTGTTGTGCTTGGAATTGCACCTGGAATTGCACCTGGTTTTCCGCCTGGTGCTGCACTATGTATGGGCATAGTGGTGGGGGGGTGCAGGATGTTGGGGCCGCTGCATTGCAGCTGCAGCTCGACCTGGTGAGAGAGAGAGACAGCATTGCACCTGAGGGTGTTGCACGTGGTATTAGGGTGTTGCACGTGGTATTAGGGTGTTGCACGTGGTATGAGGGTGTTGCACGTGGTATGAGGTGTGGGCGCTGCCACTGGCCACGGTGGAGAGGAGGTGCAGTTGCCAGTTGGGGCAGCAACATCGCAGCTACAGCCAAACCTTGTAATATTTATGTTAGTGCTTTTGCATGGAAATTACCGTGTATTTGCATATGTTTCACGATATGGTGTTCGGGTCAGCACAAAATGCACCGTGTGCATGTGAGTGAGTCATGCAAGTTGCAGTGTCGTTTTTGTTGGCGCGAAAAGCACCGAGGCCGTGTCTATGGGCGACTCTCCTCTTCATGCCTCCCCTATTTCTCTTCCTCAACTACGTACATGCATGCCTCTCCCGTACCTCTCCTGTACCTCTCCCGCACCTCTCCCGCACCTCTCCCCGTTCCTCTACTTCTCAGGTTCGGCTCAGCCTTGATCGGGTCAAAGCGGAGCTCCGCCAATCAGCCGCAGGCACGTCAGCAGCAGGGAGGAGCTCTGCCGTGATTGGTCCAGAGCGGGCCAAGCTGGCAGCCGTGTTGCAGCGAATCAGGCTGCGCCTTATTCCGGAGGTGAGGGGGTGGGTGGGTAAGTGGGTGGGTGGATGGGCGGTGGGCGGGAGGGAAAGAGGAGGTACAAGAGGGATGTGGGTTAAGTTGCGGCTTATTTCACAGGTGGTGAAAGCGCTTCGCCAGGGAAGTGGTTTGTCTTTTTAAGAGGTAAGTGTGGTTTGCCAGTGTGACTTGTTCCTCTGAAAGGGAGGAAGACATTGAGGCAAGTGTGTACTGTACTCGATAATGCGGCCACACACCACGTCAAGTTCTGATTGGAATCAACAATTGCGGGGTGAGCGAGTGTGCTGCTCCTACTCGACCAGTACTTGAATGGCTTGTCGCATATGATCTGGTGTGGTGTTAGATTCATGTGGAGTGGAGTGCTTTAAGGCTCCCTCTTTCCAGAGCAACACGCTCACTCACCCGCGTTCGTTGTTTCCAATAAGCACCAAACGCTTTCTTTAAGGTACCCTAGAGGATTTCCACGTGTGAGAAGGTTGTTTGAGGGCCCTGGAAGGGAAAAGGTGGCCGAAGCAAGCTCATGTAGACACCAGATAGCTCGGCAGCCGCATCGGTTTCGCACCAGAAAGAGCCACACATCTCATGTAAAATCAACACAAATGGGGTGAGTATGTGAGGGCACTGAAGCATTTGAGGGCATTGTCCTCACTTCGCCCACCCTCACCTCTCTTTCTGTGTTTCACTTTGTCCGTGCGTCACTTCTCCAGGTGCTTCAAATGCTCCCTTCCAACTCCCTGTTCGAGGAAAAGGCCTCGCTGCTGCTCCGCCTATTGCTTCATGCTTCTGCCCATGCGCCTAGCCCTGCACCGAGTCATGAATCCAGCCATCCCACTGCCCATGCACCTAGCCATACGAGCGCAGCGGCTGCGCCAGGAGCAAGCACTGGAGCGGGTGCAGCAGCAGCAGCAGCAGCAGCAGGAGGCGCAGCAGCAGCATCATCTTCAGGAGCGGGTGCAGCGCCCTTGTCAGCAGCGGAGGCGGCAGCAGCAGCGGTGGAGGCAGTGGGCGGTCGAGACGCTCTCCTGTGGATGGTGCTGGCACTCTATTCGAGGAAGGTACGTGGCTTCTTCAGGTGCTTCAATAGATTACTCAAGACAGACTCGGCAGCAGCAGTAGTGCATGTTTTTTTAGGCGCCTCAAACTTCGTGACGCGCCTCGGGAACGGTTTTTGAGGCGCCTGCTGCATTGATAGACTGCTTACAGACGCAGCAGCAGCAGCAGTGCAAGGTGTAGGTGGCTGGAATGCTCGTCTGTGCTCCGTGGTTGGTTGCGGCTGGTTGCGCCACATGTGAGAAATGCGTGTACCACGAAGTGTACCACTGGTCGCGTGAGGAAGGCACGCGATCAATCAGTCTGAATAGCGCACTTTGTTCCTCCCTTACGTGCGGTTCATGTACTTTTATGCTGACTACTGTTGACAAGCACCATTTTGGGCCGAGGCAACGTTGATGGTGGGCCGAAGTTGGTGGCGACGCACTCACCGTTTGCTTTGCTTGAATTCTGCCGTCTTCCTACTCTGTGCTCTTCCGTTTGCTTGTCGTACCATTTTGGTCTTCAACCAGCTATACCAGCCCCTCCACTGCATCACCATCTGCGACCAGCTGCTCTCCCTCTCCTCCCCATTTCTAAGTGTTGTTTCTCTCCTCCCCTTCCACATTCTATCTTCCCTCTCCCTCCCCCCCTTTCCTCCCCCCCAACCAGCTAAACCAGCCCCTTCATTGCATCACCATTTGCGACCAGCTCCTCTCCCTCTCCTCTCCTCCCTCGACCTCAACCCCTCCCTCCCTCACTCTCCATCCTCCCTCCTCCCTGCCTCTCATCTCCCCTCGCATGTCCCTTCCTCCTCCCCATACCACCGCCACCTCTCCTTCCTCCTCTTCTCACCCCCCCATTCCCTCACTCATCCCTCTCCTCCCTCCCTTCTCCTCGTCCTCCATAACCGCGTTTCAAACATCTCCCCTCCGCACTGCTGCACAAGAATCAGCAACAGCACCCGAAGGGGGGCTAGCAGGAGCAGGAAGAGGAGGAGCAGGAGCAGGAGCAGCAGCAGGAGCAGGGGCAGGAGCAGGAGCAGTAGGAGGGGGAGGTGGAGGGATTTTAGGGGCTGCAGGGGAGGTTATCCCTAGTGGAGGTGAGAGCAATTACAACAGCGGCAGCAGCAGCAGCAGCGGTGGCAGCAGTGGCAGCAACATTGCCACGCCACATCAAGTGTTGCTCCAGGTGCTGCTTCTTGCTGACGTGGCGCTGACTCAGTTTGCCGCCCACTTCGAGAGGATATACCCCAGCAGTCAAGGGGAGGGCGAGGGAATGATGCAGGGAGAGGAAGGTGCTGGGAAGGTGGATGAAAGGATGGAGCAAGCAGCATCAGTCGCAGCATCAGCAGCAGCAGCAGCATCAACAGCAGCAAGGGCACCAGGTGGTGGATCCAGGGAGGGGTTGGTTGGAGTAGTAGCAGCTGAAACGGCTGGAGGGTCGCTGGCAGAGAGGAGAGGGAAAAGAGTGGCTGTGATTGCAGATATGGACGGGGAGGGGGAACGGGAGGGAGGCAGCAGCCTTGTTGCTTCTCTTATGGTTTCCCCAGGCACACGAGGCACAGGGAGGACAGGGATGGGGGGTGGAGGAGCAGACTTGGCATTTGGAGGGAGGAGGGAGGCGGTGGGAGGGATGGCAGGGGAGGGAGAGGTGGAAGGGGAGAGGAGGGAGAGTGGGGAGGGGGGTGGGAGGAGAGGGGGAGCCAGCAGGTGGGGGTTGAGGGAGGGAGTGATGGTGGGAGCAGCGTTGGAGGTGATGGAGAGGAGATGGTGGCTTATGGATACCATGGAGGCTCTGCAAATGCTGCCACGAGACGTGCCGTTACAGGTAGGACAATGGGTGTTACAGATGTTACCATGTGCATTGGCTGTAACACAGTTCGAGACGGAGGGAGTGATGGTGGGGGCAGCATTGGAGGTGATGGAGAGGAGATGGTGGCTTTTGGATACCATGGAGGCACTGCAGATGCTGCCATGTGGTGTGCTGTTACAGGTACAATAATACAGTAATTATGGTCGTTTTTCAAAGGTACAATGGCAGTATCCATAATCTTTCCAACAACTGAGCGTGCTGCCATGTCTAGAGGCAGCGAGCAGAGGAGGAATGCTTTGCCCCCTTCCCCACCCTCCTGTCTCGTCCCCCCCTCCCCACCACCACCCCCCCACCAACCCCCCACCAGATTGTGCTGTTGTATCTAGAGGCAGTGATGCGAGCAGGCAGCAAGCAGAGGAGGAATGTGGCAGTGGTGAAGACCCCTCACCTCCCTCCCTGCTCTTTGACTCTCCCCCGCTTCTCCCCCTGCACCCTCTTGTTCCCCCCACCACCTCCCCCCAACCCCCCCCACCAGAGTGTGCTGCCGTATCTGGAGGCAGTGATGCGAGCAGGCAGCGAGCAGAGGAGGAATGTGGCCGTGGTGAAGAATCTGAGGAGGAGCGAGAATCTGCAGGTGAGAGTTGCAGGGGGTGTGGTGCTATGCGGCAGGGATGGGTGGGAGGTGGTGTGAGGTAGGGATGTGTGGGACAGACATCTAGCAGAGGAGGAACGGGGCAATGCACAGATTTGTGCTTTCTCCAAATCCAACAGGCCCCTATTAGTTTGACTACTGAGACAAGAGACCACAAGGCAGTGAGAAAGTGTAGTAAGACATGCAAGTGTAGCACAGCAAGTACAAGCAGATGTAGTATATATATCAGGATACAAGGAGCGGAGCTGCTACTGAGACTAGACCAATCTGAGTACAGAACCGCTGATGGTCACGAGGCGCTAGTGCCTTGGTGAAGATATCAGGAGTGTTGGCCTCTTAGGCCACTTGTACTACATGAGCTTGACCGCGCTGCTGCAACACACGCAGCAGGAAGTACTGCAGGTGGATATGCTTCGCCCTACCCTCAAGTTGAGCCTTCTGACACTGGAGGATCATGGCCCTGTTGTCAGCAAATATGACCGGGGCACACTCAGGCGGCTCACCCAAGTGAGCGAGCAGGAACGTCAACAAGCGGAGCTCCAGAGCGGCCATGGCCCTAGCGTAGATTTCTGCCTCACAACTGGATTGAGCTACAGACGACGACCTAGTGGACCTCCACGAGACTAAAACAGAACCAAGACTAAAACAGTAGCCCTATGAGAACTTGAGCGTCTACACGTTGTCAGCCCACAAAGCATCTTTTTGTCTAGTGAGCACCATTGGCTCCTGTCTTCCTAGTGCAAGCCCTAGTCCTGATGTACTCGCCAAATACCGCAGCGCCCTTTTGGCAGCCGACCAGTGGGCTGGTCGGTGCCTCCCTATCGCAACAAAGCGAGCAAGGAGACTGAGAGGGTATGCTAGATCTGGTCGAGTGCAGGTCATCAGGTACATGAGGCACAGCTTCAGGTCCAGTAGGGGGTGGCGAATACCGTAAATGGCAGGAAGCGTGGGGCGGGCATCACGGGAGGCCATGAACATCTCCTTCAAACACCCCTCCAAATCCCTCCCCCTTCCTCTCTCTCCTCGTTTAGCTTCAGGTCCAGGAGAGGGTTGCGAATATCGTTAATGGCAGGAAGTGTGAGGCGAGCATCACGGGGAACCAGGTGTGCGCCATCAGGCTTCCCTTCTTTACCCTTCCGTTTTCGCTTTGCCTTCCCCCTCCCCACCCCGCCCTCCCCATTCTTGGGCAGCTTTGGGAGGAGGTGGCGAATGGCAGGAAGCGCGAGGTGAGCATCACGGGGGACCATGAACACCCCCTTCAAACATCCCGTCAAACCCCCCTCCCCTCTCCTCCCCACCCCCCCCCCGCCCCTCTCCTCTCCCTCTCCCTCTCTTTTCTTGTGCAGCTCCGGTAGGAGGTGGCCAATGGCAGGAAGCGCGAGGTGAGCATCACAGGGGACCATGAACATCCCCTTAAAAAACCCCGTCAAATCCCCCCCCTCTCCCCCTCCCCTGCTCCCTCCCTCTTTTCTCATGTAGCTCCAGGAGGAGGTGGCGAATGCTAGGAAGCGCAAGGTGAGCATCACGGAGGACCATGAACATCCCCTTAAAAAACCCTGTCAAATCCCCTCCCCTCCCCCCCTCCCTCCCTCTTTTCTCATGTAGCTCCAAGAGGAGGTGGCAAATGGCAGGAAGCGCGAGGTGAGCATCACAGGGGACCATGAGCACCCCCTTCAAACATCCTGCCAAACCCCCCTTCCTCCTCCTCCTCCCCCCCCCCCCTCCCTGTCCTCTCCCTCTCCCTCTTCTTGTGTAGCTTCGGGAGGAGGTGGCGAATGGCCGAAAGAGAGAGGTGAGCATCACGGGGGACCGCGTATGCGCCATCTGTCGCAAGCGCATTGGAGGGAGCGTGTTTGCGGTATATCCGGGCGGCACACTGGTGCATTTTGTCTGCTTCCAGCACCACCAGACGCAGTTTCCTGCAGCAGGGCCGTGATCGCCATGATGGGAAATGAAATTCTTGAATTCGTGCTTAGGAACCATATGTTTTCTAAAGTTACAGCTCAAAGCAGAGGAACATGTAAGAATCGTGCTATCGTGAGGGAGAGGAACGCAGATCCGTTATTCCTCTCCGCTCCTCGTTTCAACCCAGAGCTAGTTGTGAAGAACGAGGAATCCGGTTCAGGTGCAGTGCGGTATCTTGTTGATTCGAGGCGTTACGGTGGTTGAAGTTCGGTGAGTCAAAGTCACTTCAATTTCGAGCTTTCTTTTTACGAACTGCCTACTGTACTACTTTCGAGCGCCCCCACCCAATACTCGAAGCACGGCTCGCCCTAATATAAGTTGCCGTTCTCATCAGCTTAGGTCTAAAGCGCGATCTCCTCTTCACACCAGAGTATATCTACCCAGCCAGTTCTCATAAGGCCGCACGGTCTTTTAATCAGTCTGAGCGTCTAGCCGTCTGCTGTCTTCTAGAAGAGCTATTCGCCAGCTTATCGCGAGCTGTCGACGGCGCTGCTTTTTCCGTAGGAGCGTTGCCTCGCAGTTCGCTATTCGCGACATCCTTTCGCCTTCTCGTGCTGTTTCCCGTCGCGACTCCAGACCAGACTTGCCAAGATGGCGACCAAAGTGCAGCGGATTATGACACAGCCCATTGTGCGTGCTCGTGCTTCTCGCGCCTCGTCTCTCGCTGCTTCTCGCGCTCGTTCTGGTGCTTGCTTTAGTGATTGGGATAGTGATTGTAGCTTTCGACTCCTAAGCGGATTTCAGATCCTGTTTTTCTGCTTCCGGATCTTAGGGTTGCCAGATGCCGTTTCTCATATATATATCAATTCCCGTACTTTAGGGTTTCACTACCAAGTGTAAATCCATCTCGCGTCCTCTTCATTTTCATGAGCTCATTTTCACTTATCCTGGCCCACGCATCGGAGTCTGACAGTTCACCCATTTCCCCTCCCCCGTCCCTCCTTCCATGTCTCGCCTGTGCCCCTCTGCGACTTCCGCGTGCCACTCTGCGACTTCCGCGTGCCCCTCTGCGACTTCCGCGTGCCCCTCTGCGACTTCCGCGTGCCCGTCTGCGACGTCCGCGTGCCCCTCTGCGACTTCCGCGTGCCCGTCTGCGACGTCGGCGCGTCGGAATATCTTACGCGGTTTTGACGGCTTCAGAACCTAATATTCCGATTCCTACAAAGTGTAAGGAGCACCCCTCTGTCGCCGCCTGACTCTTGCACCTCCTCTCCCCGTGACTTTACACGCACGAGATTACGTCTCTTACCTTCACCCAATTCGACCTTTTTTTCCTTCATAGAATTTCAAATTTGGCACTTTTTTCAAGACCCTAGATTTCTCAAAAATCTCGGCGCAGTTGCAATGTTCCTACGTGAGCTTTGGAAGCTGACAGCTGTCGTCGCTGTTGTAATTGTTGGTGCAATCCCATCTCTGCGCTTTCCACCTTTCCACTTGCTTCTGGCATTCGCATCGCTTCTACCACTTCTCGCAGCCTCACTCTGTCTCCCCCCCTCCCCTCCCCCCCCCCCCCCCCGTGCTTATGGCGTGCCTGCTATTCTTTCCTCCCGCTCTTCGCCTGCAGAAATCGCGAATCCAGATCTGGCTGTACCAGCAGAAGGACACTCGGATCGAGGGCAGAATCATTGTGAGACAACTTCCGTTACGCAAACCCCAGATCTCCTCGTCATATTGCTATTGCATACAGTCCCAATGATGGTTCGGTGCCCTCGAGTTGACTTTTGAATCGGCTCATAAGTCACCTCATTTTGCTGTTGCATGCATACCCAATGATGGTTCCGTGCCCTCGGTAACTATACGCGCGTGTAAGACGCCGTTGTGTAACCTCACCCAAAGTGTGACGCTTCATCCTCTCACATGCTACATCTCTATCTCCCCATCACATCCGCCCTCATGTGCCCTCATCCCTCTCCCAGGGGTTCGACGAGTACATGAACCTGGTGCTTGAAGATGCAGAGGCGATCTCCCTCGTGTGACACCTGACCCTCTCATTGGCTGACCCTTTTATATCGCTCTCAGGGGTTCGACGAGTACATGAACCTGGTGCTTGAGGACGCAGAGGAGATTTCCCTCAAGAAGAAAACCAGGAAGCCACTCGGTACGTCCCCCTTCGCCCTACCCCCACCCACCCCAGCCCTGTTCACTCACTGCAACGTGCACCTCACTTGAGTTTTGAGACGTCTCATGTTGCTGCTTCGCTGCAAAACCCCTGTACCCCACGCCCCCCCCTGCACCCCGCCCTGCAGGGCGCATCTTGCTTAGAGGAGACAACATCACACTTATGATGAACACGTGAGTCTCATTCCCGTGCTTCCTTGTGACATGTTGCAACATGTTGCGTTGCTGTTGTGACCTTAGTTGCTACAAACGCGTTTGGCGTTTGAACGCTAAACGCTCGGCAGTGTATATGTGAACGCTAGGCAAACGCTTGCCCGGGCAGGGGTAAAATTTTTACCCGGGCAGGGGTTCAAGATTCTTGTGGGGGAGAGGGGAAACATGGGGGTTCTACCAGGAAGCATTTTGTCTCATAAAAAAGAACCGTGCTTAACATTTAAGCCAGCATCCTCATATGTCATGTAAATCACCTATCCTTAATGCTATTCTCCAACGACAATCTCGTGTTTTTTTTGGGGGGGCAGCCCGAAAAATATCCCAGAGAGCGTTTGCGTTTTTGGGTGTGTTTGGCGTTTGCGTTCAAACGCAAGCGTTTGAACGCTAAACGCGTGTCTGCCAGAGCGTTTGTAGCAACTAAGGTTGTGACATGTTGCATCATGTTGCGTTGCTGTTGCATCCTGTTGAATCGTCTGAACTGTGCTGCATTCCATTCTCCCCTCATCCCCGGGTCTGGGCTCCATATCACTACATAGTATGATACATCTTTCACCCACTTCGAAGTTTGAAGTGCTATCCCTGCTTCAATGGCTGGCGCATTGTTTCCTACATTGTCGAGCTCCGTGTGCCTGCTTCTCAAGCATGCCGACCCCCTTTATGTGTTTGAACCCGTATGATTCCCAGGGGAAAATAACCACCGTGTTTGGCGTTGCTGCTTTCCTTGCTTGCCGTAGCTGTCAAGTAGTTATCCGGTTTTATGTGTTGCAGCACTGTAAAGGGATGTTTCACCTTGCAACGCAGCATGCAGAATGTGCAAAATGTGCCTTGGCTGCCTACTGGCGTAACATTAAACTGATTGTGACTAGGAGAGCCTTGCAAATGAGAGTAAATGAGTGATATATATAATTGTAGGCTTGGTAGGTGTTACTAGATCCTACTGTAAAGGGTACAACCCCCCTTGTATCTCTCTCTCGACATTTTCCCCTAGCCTAAAACCTCACGCCATTTCAATGGCTTCTCTACCCACCTAGCTTCTTTTAACATGGTTTCAGAGCAGGTCCTTCTGCTCGGTGTTAGAAAACGAGAATGACTATGTTGGAAATATCTCAAGGACTTAAGCGTTTCTGAAGTGTAACACTGTACTCGAGGAAGATTACAGGGGAGCACGCGAGTCAACGGAGGTTACACGAGGGGGCGGACAAAGAATGCGAAAGGACTCGAAAGGTCGCAACTGGAGGTTGCGACTGACCGTTACAACATCACGGATGGTAACCGAAGCGGCAATCGAGTCGCTGTGCGACTCGATAAACCGTTCCTGTAACTGTATTCTACAACTGCTTCCTTATCTTCTATATATTGCTGTATGCTTGTTTCTTTAATCAATCACTTGTTCTCACATACTAGTACAAGGGTTCAACTGCCTCAACTTCCGCTGCACTACTCCAAGTCTCAAGTCTTTACAGCTGGGACTTAATCTCTGCAAAAGATCCTAAAGGGTTTTTCTCAGCCCAACATGGTATGAGAGCTGGTCAGAGATCAAAACTCCCAGCAACTACACTCCATCAACAACCAGCAACTCAACTTGATTCAACAACTCCATTGATTACAAGACATGGACAACAAGGGCAAGAAAGTCTCTACGGGCTCACCCAGCGCCCAAGAAACTCAACACGGCAACTCTGGTCTGCACACCTCAGGACTGCAGACAGAGACCGGGACTACTCAAGAAACAACGGGAAGAGTACCAGAGATGGTGACTCCGTCTCCCTCTTCAAGTGTGGACCCGAATCTCATGGAGAGATTCTTCAGCTTCATGTCACACTTCGACCAGCAGCAGCAGACAAGGACACCTGCGCACTCAACACAGAGCAATGGAGGGAATATGGGATTAGCGCCGATGAGCCTCGACAACTCATCCTTCGGGCGACACAACCAAGCGCCTACCTTTGCGCCTTATCATTCTTCGCCGGGGACGTTCGAATTCATGCCGCCCCGTGCCCAGCCAACAGCAGCTGCTTCACAACAAACACCGAATGAAATCTTAAGTTTACAGGCGCAGTTCTCACACGTGATCAAACTTCAGACATCCTCACCGTTCAACGGACACGACTTCTTTACCTGGAGCTTCGAGTTTGAGCTGCTGATGGAGGCCGCGCATCTTCTGGGATACTTCAACGGGTCCCTGCCATTCCCAAGCAACGGCACTGGGAAGGAACAAGAGATCTTCACGTATCAGTCGCTGCTGGCGTACACGGTACTCCTGAGAAACCTGTCACCACAAGAGCAGCAGAGCATCAGAACGTATCGGAGTTATGGAAACTCCGCGGAGCTCGCATGGCACCACCTCAAATGCCTTTACCAAGCAAACGACAGCGTGACACAAAGCAGACTCATGCAACAGCTGACAACAATACAGATGAAGACCGGGGAAAAGGCGATGCAGTATATGAGTCGCTGCCAGACCCTCCGCGACCGCCTGCTTCGGTGCGGAGGAACGATCACTGAAGAAAGCTTCGTGACACTTGTCCTCGCCGGGCTCGGGCCAGAATGGAGAACCACACGATCACTTCTTCGAGCCCACGGAAGAATTTCGGAGATGCACCTCTGCGCCGAGCTTCACGCTGAACAACAGGAGATGGATCTGTTCGAGGAAAGACAACCAAGGAAGCAACAGCAGTTAGTCTTCTACACTCAAAGAAGAAATGACAACAACTACAACCGACGCAGCAAGCAAGATCAACGCGACAACCGAGGACTCACCATCGTGCCGCCGTTCTGCCACAACTGTCAGACTTCCGGGCACTCCAAGGTCAACTGCAACCGCCCTCGCGTTTACCGTGCAGCAGACCCACAAGTCGCTTCCACTCAAGCAAGTCCTCCAAGGCGCTCTTCAACATCTGCACAACAAACACCCAACATCATCAACTGCATGGTACACATCGACAACTGCGCACCCGCTTCACCACCCACTTACGCACCAGACGAAGAGGAATTCCCGCCGCCGCGCTCGCAAGGACTTCAGGTCAACCCGACATACGCTGCAGTCGCTAACGCCGAACCCACCGGGCGGAACACCTGGTTCTTGGACAGTTGCTGCGGTCAGCACATGTGCTCCTCCGGACGCTTCGTACAACACGAGCGACGCCTCAACCGCGACGTCGTCATCACCGTCGCCAACAACGAAAACCTGAAAACAAACAGGCAAGGCGTGGTTCAGTTACAATCAATGGAGACAAACGTTATTCTTCAGCTCAACAAAGTCCTCATCGTCGACAATCTGGGATACAACCTACTAAGCGTAAGCCAACTAATGGCTAAGGGGATTCACCTGGAGTGCGACTCCTTCTCCAACGAGTTCCGACTTTACCACGGGAAGGGCGGTCTCTTCATCGGTCGTGCCCTCCTGAAGTCCGGTGTCTTCGTGTTGGACTTCGTCCCCGACCGCGGAACTGCCGACAGCGATGGCATCGTATCGTTCGCCGCCTGGACTCACCCACCAGATCTTGATCCCGACTTCGACAGTGACGGCTTCTGGCACTCCAACACCATACATGCAGCAGAGAGAACACGGGCATTAGCAGTTATCAGACAAGAAAGACAAGTACCAGCAAGCGTCCCAACAAAACCATCACCTGCAGTATCGGCAGCAGGACCCAGCCGAGTACCACCACCATCAACACGAGGACCGCCAACGGAAGCAGACCAACTTATGCCCGCCACACGAGAAGCTTGTCGAAGTCCCGCCTCGGTCGTCGCGTTCTTCTCCAACGCCGACATCTACCACCGCTCGCCCGGTCACCGCGCTCCCGACGACATCTGGCACCAACGTCTCGGACATCCTGCAAACAGCACGATACTACAAACAATACAAGCAGAGGTGTTAGAACGTAACGCCCTTCTAACGACGAGCGGCCAAGAACTTCGCCGACCAAGAGCACGATGCTTCACGTGCCCCGAAGCAGATCTTCCTCATCAACCTTTCCCAGCCCATCACAATCCAAGCGCACCCACTTACGCTCCGATGGAAAAGGTCTACAGCGATATTCTAAACATGCCTCGAGACGACACCGAAGCCGACTTCAACTACGTCATCACGTTCATCGACGCCGCAACCAGATACGTCTGGCACTTCAATCTCAAAACGCGCGATCAAGCCTTCGAGGCCTTCACCACATGGCTTCCAATCGCCGAACGAGAGTCAGGAACCAAACTCAAGAGTTTCCAGTCAGACGGTGCACTGGAATACCAGTCACAACGCTTCAGGACCTATCTCGCGGAAAGGGGAATCCGACGCCTGGTGTCTCTGCCCTATGCTCACCAGCAGCAGGGGGTAGCAGAACGCATGAACCGGACCTTGCAGACGACGATGCGAAAACTGCTTCTGGGGATGAGGCTGCCCAATACACTGTGGCCAGACGCGATGACACATGCAGTCCACCTGCACAACCTGTTGTCCTCGTCATCGCTCCCCAACAACGCATCACCGCACCTGCTGTGGACGGGAAAAAGGGGCAGCACAAAATTACTTCGAGTTTTCGGCTGCATGGTACAATACAGACCCCACACAGCTCGAGCAGGACGCTTCACTCAACGAGCTCGGTGGGGACTACACCTCGGCATCGCCAAACATTTTCACGCGTGGAAGATTCTCGACATACACGACAAAAATACGGTGGCATCACGTGATGTTATCTTCTACGAGCGACTGACGCTGCAGCATTACCTGGACAACATTGCCAACTCAGACGACCCCACCGACGGCTTCGCGGGCCTTCGCTCCTTCGCTGACCATGCTGCCGAGGCTGACGCAGCAGAAGAAGACGTCCCTGGAGCCTCGGAGGCTGCCGGACCACTCCCCTACTGCTCCGTACCTGTTCCACTCGATGAAGATAATCCTCTCGATAGCAACAACCTCGACACCTTTTACCACTTCGCTGACCAAGGCTACGCTACACCACACCCCGTCGACTCGAATATTTCCGAACGCATCGGGCCAAACTTCTTACCCGATCCTGAAGACGGTGATGAAGCAGCTTATCCCGAGAATGAAAACTCCCCTCGACACACAGCCACGGGACTGCAGATCCTAGGACTATGGGTCTCCGTCCAGCACCCGCCGCCGCCTTCTCCGCGCGAGCCGTCGACCCTGTCGCAGGCTCTGGGGGGGGAACATAAGGCACAATTGAAGGAAGCGATGGAAAAAGAGTTAAAAGCTCTGCAAGACCGAGAAACATGGAAACTGGTACCTGCAACGAGCATCAACGGGAAGAACATTCTCTCGGGGAAATGGGTGTACCGCATCAAGACCAACTCAGACGGCTCCATCGAACGATTCAAAGCTCGATGGGTCGTACGAGGCTTCGATCAACGATACGGAACCGACTACACAGAAACCTTCGCTCCAGTCTCCCGTCACACCTCTCTGCGCATCCTACTCGCCATCGCGGCCACGAAGAAACTACCACTACGGCAAATCGACGTTGCAAACGCCTTCTTGTACGCACCTGTGGACGCCGAAATCTTCGTCGAACAACCCCACGGATTCATCGACGACCCTTCAAAAGTATGCCAGCTGGAAAAATCCCTTTACGGGATCAAGCAAGCCCCACGGCTCTGGCAGCAGCACCTTCACGGCCGGCTCGTAAAAATCGGATTCCTACAGCTACCACATGACCAAGGCATGTACCGACTACAGAAGGGAAGAGATTACATTCTGCTCATCGTCTACGTCGACGACCTGCTCTACATCGGTTCTACCACCGACATCGTCACCTGGTTCGAAGGGGAGCTGAAAAGGGACCTGACGCTCACGGTGTCCGACGAGGTGACGCAGTACCTAGGACTGAACGTCGTCGAAGACGACACGGCGTTCTACCTACACGCTGGAAAGTACTCAAGCACCGTCGCGAAGAAATTCGGTCTAACACCGACTGCGGTCCCAACTCCCTACCGCTACGGGAACAACAGTAGCGCCTCCACAAAACTCCCCGCGAAACAAATCCAGGAGTA